TGGATAATTGACACTGATGCCACTGATCATATGACTTTTGACTCCACTATTTTCTCCACATTATCTCCTAAGTCTCGTCATCCTTACATCACTAGTGCCAATGGGGTTCCTTCTAATGTTATTGGAGAAGGAACTATCTCACTTTCCCCTTCCTTATCTTTACCTCATACACTACTTGTTCCCTCTATTAATTGTAATTTGTTGTCTGTTGGGAAATTGCTTGATTCACATAATTGTTATGCCACATTCTATCCTTCCCATTGTACTTTTTAGGACCTCACGACTCACGTGACGATTGGGCATGGTAAACGGAGAGGGGGGTTGTATTCCTTGACGGTCTCTTCACCACCAAGGGCAGCTCATACTCATGGTTCTAACTCACAAGCTCGTAATCAACACCAGATTTGGCTCTGGCATTGTCGCCTAGGACATCCATCCTTTGGTTATCTTCAACGTTTGTTTCCGTCTTTGTTTCGTGGTTTAGATAATCCCCAGTTTCGGTGTGAAACCTGTGTATTGGCCAAAAGCCATCGAACCGTATTTCCCTTAAGTGATAATAAAACATAATTTCCTTTTGATTTGGTTCACTTTGATGTTTGGGGTCCTGCTAAAGCTTCTTCCAATGGCAAGAGATGGTTTGTTACATTTATTGATGACTGCACTCGCATGACTTGGTTTCTAGCTCATAAAAGTGATGTTTCTGCTAAAATCTGTGAGTTTCATGCTATGATCATCACACAATTCCAAGCCTCCATTAAAGTATTCCGGTCCGATAATAGTGGGGAATATGTGAACAATGTCTTGGCTCAATTCTTCCGGGACCACGGCATCATTCATCAAACCTCCACCTCTTTTACTCCACAACAAAATGGTGTTGCCGAACGAAAGAATCGACAATTACTTGAGGTTGCTTGTGCATACATGCTAGATAAATCGGTCCCTCACTACTTATGGGGATATGCTCTTCTCTCTGCAGTCTATGTAATTAATCGGGTGCCTAGTAGTGTTTTGGATTTTCAGACTCCACTGGACACCTTGGCTCGTCACGTCTCTCTTCCTACCGTCCTCAAGCTGCCTCCTCGCATATTTGGTTGTGTTGTATATGCTCATGTTCCATCTCATCAAAGGAGTAAGCTGGACCCTTGTGCCATTCGATGTGTGTTTATTGGGTATGGATCAAATCAAAAAGGATACAAGTGTTACCATCCTCCTACTCATAAGCCCTTTGTCACTATGGATGCCACATTCCATGAGGATTTATCCTACTTTGAAGCTTCCAAGCTCCCTTCTCTTCAGGGGGAGAGGTTGAGTGAAGAGAAGGAAGAAAAAATTCAAGATTACCCTGAAGATTGCCCTGAAGCGAACGGTCGCCAGCCAGAAACGACCGATCGTGAAACACTCTGCCCTGAAGCGACCGGTCGCCATCCAGAAACGCCCGGTCGTGAAACACTTTGCCCAGAAACGACCGGTCGCCAGCCAGAAACGCCCGGTCGTGAAACACTCTGCCCAAAAACGACCGGTCGCCTTTCTCCAGCAACGACAAAAACCCAATATGTCCAGTGGCGACCGGTCGCCCAGATCCTAGCGACCGGTCGCTTTGTTTTAGTGACCTCGAGGGTGGAATAATTGTCCTTTTACCCTATAGTGGAATTCGAAATCGAGGTCTCATCCAGAAAAGTGAAAACAACTGCAAATGGATCAGTAATAAGTTGGTTTGCTATCTAGAAGAATCTTACTCAATTAAGGTGAAAAATTATTGTTGGTACCTAAATGGAATCCATATATCTAACATTCTTCCAACAAATTCACAAGATGTCTCAAAAACAAAATGCTACATATTTAAGTTCAACCTAAATGTCAAGTGATTCCCAAAAACAAATAACATAAGATTCATCACTAGCAGATTGTCTTCTGCCCTTTATCCATCAGACCTGCATCAAACAAAGAATAATGTCAGTACTTACTTGGGATGCACTAAACCGGGAATGAACTAAATGCAAGAATAATTAAACTCAAGAGCTAGCTAGCGCATCTCTAATTAATTAGTTGCTTAAAGTTTATCTGTCACTTGTCTGAAGTAACTGGAAATTAGGAAGTTAGTATATTGTGCAGTTTGCAAAAATTGTATTGTAGTAAGATGAGAGTTATAAGCTAACCTCATTGATGATGAAGTTGAGTTTGACCGTTATATATACCTGTTCCAACAGGTATCAGCCCTCTACATAAACAGGACCCCTGGTTCTGTTTAAAGGACATTGTTGCGTAGATACAGCTGCACCAAAATGGATTCAGTTGCATCCTCAACTTGTGATACTCGCAAGTGCACGAGCCGTTCGGTAGTATA